GAAAAACAAAGTTTCACACATGTAAAACTAATGCTTCTTCGAACGTCTTTCTCCTATTCCCTGTTTTCTTTGTTGTTTTCACAATTACTCGTTCGAGCCTGAATGCCCTTTCATAATACACACAGAGATACAAGGTTTGAGTCGGCCTCGACTGATTCATACAGTGAAACAATTGGTGGGCAAAACCATTCAAAACGAATATTTCAAAAGTTTCGGTGAGGTGTGCGAAGATCAGTTAATAAAGAAATTTTGTGGAAGGCATGCCTAGTTAAACCGCAAAGCACCGCTCTGATGATGTTTCGTTGACTCGAAAGATAGGCTCGGGTGCAAAGCACATCACGGTCTCTTAATGCATTGATCTTTGAGCCAACTGCAACCAAAATTACGCCATCCAAAATTTCGTTCGGCAAATCCCACATTTTGGCCAGCTGCGCCACAGAAATAACACCCACATCCGACAAACGCTCATTCAATTCCTTGCATAAAATATCGATATAATCCCTAAACAAAAGACAATTCACATTTCCCAAAATGTTTCACTTGCTGTTACACTCAAAAATCCTGGTAAAAACCTATTCGCGATCAAATCTCTCCATACATTTCAAACATATATGTGCAAATATATCGGAGAATTTGAATATAATAGCAGACAAGGGGGAACGAGAGGATGCATTGCATTTTTGGATATAAAAAATTTACCAAAAAAAAAAAAAAAATAAAGTTGGCAAGAACAAAAACCTACAAGAATACAAATGTTGAAAAATAGTTAAGAAGGGCTCAGAAATGCTTCAGCGCTTCTGTGCTTGGAATCGAAGAAACGCGCAAACATTTCAAAAGTAAGCCAAACACTTATCTAAAGAGTGAACAACAAACTTTGAAATGAGCTCCGCATTGCACAGCATAAAAGCAGAAGAATGCTTCAAAATGACTGATACAGCATTCTCGATGTGCTCGTAATCGACACACAAAGCGCGAGCCAAATCCGATAACGAGACACGACCTCCTAAACAGCGCAATGCTGTTACATAACACAAAATCGTTTACAGTTCCCGATCGGATCACCTCGCCGCAACAAGAAGCAACAAACAGCCTCTACTTTAATGCGTCGATTGCCTAACTTATCCTAGCACACTTTCTCAGCCAATAAAACTTCCTCACTGAAAACCCAACACATCGCGGCTAGCCTCAATATGGCCTTGGCGTTCATTTTTTTTTATTTCTTCAAGACCGAGAGGTCAGATGTATGCATCCCCTGAGCTCAACCACTAGCAGTTCTCACACACTACACCAATTCGCATCCATCACCGAAAGAGATACAACAGAAGTTGATCGCAAAAAAGAGTTCCCAACGATACCGGACTTTATCTGCTACTTCCTGATGCCCTGGACAACATCGAAGCACGGCGGAGCAGAAGTCCTTTTTTGGCAGTTAAAAATGCTGAAAAGACAGTGCATCGCACCGTTCCTCCGGCTAACTCTTCTTTTCCTTCTACACCCAACGGTTCGACAAAGTGCCCAGATATAGGCGAATTTCAAGAATAAATCTGATAATAACACTTGAAATGTTTAGAAAAACATCAATTTCAACGGCACTGCCCGCACTGCGCATTTTTTTGAAGTCAACGAAGCGATGCGATAAATGTGGAAGGGCCGGCCTAAATTAAGAAGACACAGAAGAGCTACATCAATTCAAGACAAGATGGACGAACCTCAAGAACTGACAGTGAAATACACAAGAGAAACGCTACGCATCCCTCCCTCACAAATCGTTTTACGAGAAATCAGTCCCGCTTACCTCGTCCAATACACTCATTTTTAACCTCAGTTAGCAGGTGATTTCGGGTAACGTATTCTTTGCCATCGGTTGTGAATACGATATCCACAGCATTCGATGCAATCAGCATGGAAACCACCTCCACACAATTGTTCTCCGACAACCTGGAAAAACGAAATGTAACAAAAGACAGCAATAGCGCCTATCCTGGTAATTAAAAAAAAAAAATCTTGTTGGCGCAGAATAAAAGCATAGAAGTAGCTATTTCAGAGTTTACAAATTTGAATTTAGCAACTGCTGCTCTGCAGATGAGCAAATCGATGTGCACCATCAAAATCGCTCCTACCCAGAGCAATGCTGTGCTCCACCTTCGCTTCTTCCCCATAAAGCTTATAAGGTGGACACTCACTTCTTGGAGCCAGCGGCCAGCTGTATCCTTTGAAAATCGGCCGCCAATCGCTGTATATCTTGCCACGTAGCACTCATTGCCTGCAGACAATTTTTATTACTTCATCGAGGCAGTCAGCATTGTGCAGTCCCTTTTTCCCAGACTACGAACACTGGCCCAGCCAGGCTCTCATATCCCGAAAGAATTACTGCGCAAACGCTCAAAGACGCCTTGCTCTTTTAAGGAATCGAGCAAAAACAACCAAAGAAACCTAAGCAACAAGTTTTTCTTGTAAGACAAAATTTCACCCAGCTCGAACTTCAACTGGGAGACACCGGATTGCTCCCCAGTATACTGAACCACTATATACATAAAACAACTCCCCCTCCCCTCCTTCTCCTCCATTTGTCACCTCGCCTTACCAATATACTTTGATTAGGTCTCGTGGCCCTTCTTACCGTCGAAGCATTTGATAACTCCACTCGCTTTTTTGTGTTCCTTTCATTCACGTAACCCATGGAAAGGGTTTTCCCCCGCATTAATACATTCGCACTTGA